GCTTGAACCCCCATAACATTACTTTATTGAAAAAAAATTCATAAAAATATATTACTTTATAAAAATTAATTTTAGAAATTATATTTGATAGATTATGTAATAATGAAGCACAATCTAACATATTAAGATAAGAATCATTTCACAATAAAAAATATAATTAAAATTATTAATTTTTATATAAATTTTTTAATTTTTAAAAAAAATTAATTTATTTTCTTAAAAAAAATTCAAAAAAATAAATTATAAAAATTTAAATTTAAATTAAATTATATATATATAAAATTTATGGAGGCCAAGCCTCTAGAATTACCGAGGCTCATGCTTGAACCTCCATAATATTACTTTACTAAAAAAAAAAATCATAAAAATATATTACTTTATAAAAATTAATTTTAAAAATTATATTTGATAGATTATGTAATTTTAAAGCATAATCTAACATATTAAGATTGGAATCATTTCACGATAAAAATGAAATTGTGATAAAAACTTATTTTTCGAAAAATAACTATATTCATTTGTTAACATGTTTAATCTTCATTTTTAAAAATTTATTTTTTTCAAACATATTTTCAATCATATATTTATGGAATTCACACTTTCGCTCTTGCATTAGTATGGAGAAATAAAGAGGCATGACTGTAGCATGTAAAAATGGAGAAAGAGTAAAGATGACTCGATGACATAAACTTGCACGCCGCGTAAATTGAGGAAAAGTAACAAAGTAACTGTATCAAATATGTAAGATAAACGACGTCATTGTTTTCTCTCAAAAAAAGCTACAGTCAGACAAAATGAAAGAATTTACTGTTCTTTCTAGAGCAGTGAAGTGACTAACATAATTCTAATGAAAATTTCCATTTCTGGTGGTTGTACGTTCTGCGCTTTTCTTTACACAGACTGTTCATTTCTGGAAGGTGGTACGTTCAATGCAATATTTTGTTTGAAGAGAAGGGTGAGGAATACAAAACGACTGAATTCCAGCAATATTTATCATTTCAAATCCGCCATTTCCCTACGACCACGACAATAAGGGTTGCGTTGCACAAGCAGCGGCTGCCGGCCATTGAATCATAATGGAAAACAAAGAAACCCCACCAAATCAACTCGACCCACAGCAAAAATGCGACCAGAAATCGGTTCCCACAATGCCTAAATTCATTCTTAAACAAGAAGAACCAGGAGGACCAAACACACGCCCGCCTGTGGCTGTTTCTGATGGCACTCCGGTGAGAACCTTCCACAGACTCCATCGAGGACGGGGTCCCAACAGCAAGCGTAAGAAGGATAATCCATACATCGAGAAACAGCAAGTCATTTTGAAAAAGGTGCAATTTTTGATGGAAACGTTGAAGCCCGTACCTTTTATACCCCCTAAGATTCTTTATTTTTCTAAGCATGAAAAGCTTCTGAAGAAAATTGGTTTGTGGGACTTTGTGCATATTGATTTTGATACGAATGTAAGGATAGATTTGATTTCACAGTTGGTGGCTACCTATGATTCAAAGTTGCGGTGTAGTTATGTTAATAAATTTCGTATTGCTGTGAATAGAACTAACATAGCTCTTGCTTTAAGGTTGCCGGTGAAAAGGGTGAAGGGTAATGTGGGTGGCGTGGAAGGTGTGGACTTGGGTTCTGAGGTATTGGCCGAGGAGGAGATAGAATTTATTGAGGAGATTGTGTCCGATTGGGTGCTTTTGCATGGCGACATTTGGTCGATACCAAGTGAGGTTTTGAATTGGGTAGGGAGGATAAAGGATGGGCACCCTGAGAAGATAGATTGGGCTGGATTGTTTTGGTTTATGGTGGAGAAGGAGTTGACACAAGGCGAGCATTTGATTGATTGTTACTATGCTTCACATTTGCAGTATTTAATTAAGTCGCAGCATGAGGAAGTGTTCATGTTGAGGGAGGTGGATTTAGATGTGGAGGCAAAGGAAGAAGAGGTTCCGCCGAACAATGAGGTATATGTGACGGTTGGTAGTATAAAAGAGGTTCGAGAAGAGGAGGGTAGAGCGATGGAGGGACCAAGTATGGAGCTGACGCTAGGACAAAATATTGGGAAGAAGGAAGAAGAGGTGAAGAACATAGAGATGATGGATGCTGGGAAATGCAAGGACGAGGAGGTAGAGGAGCAAGGACAGTGGCTTTTGGATGGGAAGAACTATATGGGAGAGCATGATATGAAAAGTTGTAGAGTCGAAGAGGGTAGGAGGTGTAGTCTCATTGATGATGAGAAGGAGAAGGAAACGATCGAGAAGGCTGCCGAGGACGGATTTGATATTAATGTTTTGTCGGATGATGATGTTCTTGAAGGTGATGGACTGGCAGGTAATTTACTTCAAGCAATGGTGGGGAACCACTTAGATTTCAGTGCACAGGGGAAGCTTTGTGAACCGTTGCCAGTGGATCTTAATTCTGATGTGCAGGATTTGGCTTCTGGTCAGTCATTCTCTATCAATGCAGGCAAGCGATTTATGGTACAGGACAATGATATTTCACAGCATTTAATCGAGGATAAGAACAAGAGGTTGAGGATCAATAACTCCTGGGATCATAAGCCTGTTGGTTTTGGAATGTGCATGGAGAAAATGCAACAATCAGTCGAAAGTTTCAGGTTGATGTGTAAGGAAAAGGAAAAGACTCTGCAGCAATTGGATAGGAATCAACAGCTCTTGCTGAGTGAGTTACAGAAACGGGATATGATGATCAAATATTTGCAAAAGACCAAGTTGGAAGAGATACGGACAAGAGATGGAGAACTTTATCGTCTTCAACGTGAGCTGCACTTGATGGCTAGTATCTTGGATGGTTACAAGAAGGCCATTAAGGAAACTCAGAAGGCATTTGTCAAATATAGGGAGAAATCCAAGCTTCCTGAAGACCCATATTACATAGATGCTGGATTTGGGGGTCTGATGTTGAGCGCTACAGAAATAGAGAAGCTGCACAAGAAGCAAGAAGAAGAGTATAAGTTGAATTGCTTGATCTTGGAACAGAAGGCGAAGGAGCTTGAAGAGGATTGTGCTAGTCATTTTGAAGAATATCTTGAGAAGGTTAATTTGTTGGACAATAAGTTGACAGGTCTCGAAACTGTTATGAAAGAGCTCATTGAGTCGTATGCTAAACAGAAAATGAAGAAAAAGCTTCTGCATTCCTGAGGTATTGGAGGAAAGTATAATATTTCGATAGTTGGCATTATGAGGCTTAGGAAGTTTGATTGTCAATAGCTCGAAGCGTATCTTTTGGATTTTGGAAGACGTAGAAATGAATAGGCTTGTGCACAGTAGGCTTGTTATCATTTGAAAACTTGCTATTAGGATTTACTAATTCTATTGAAATATCAATCGTACTTTTATTTAAGTATGCTTGTTCATTTTTGGATTCGACTTTTGTTATTCGAATGGAGTGAAATATTGGAATCATCAACAGCTGTTTTGCTAGTAGGGAGGACAAGAATCAGCGTTGAATTCTTATTCCTTCTGTTTAGTGGCAGAAATCAGAATGGAATTCGAGTTCCAGTTGAATGGGATTCCATAATCAGTGAGATTGTGTTGAGATCCTCGTTGGTGGTGGCCGCCACAAGGAAATTGGCCATCCAGTGTCTGTGGCTCTACGTGACTTGTCACTTTTTTTAATCATAGATCTTTTCTTGATCGCATGATGTCTACTTCTACTACCAAAGTTTTTCTTGTTAATTCAATAATAAAGAAGTAATTGTGTGCCTCCCTCGAGTTGCATGATAACCTCTAAGTGGTCATGCAGAATTACTTCTCGAAAAATCTTTATGAAATGAGCCCTAAAGTGGTCATGAAGACCTTGCCAATGGTGCAGGCTTGAATATCCATTACTCAATTATTACAAATCTAACAATCCCAATTGCATTGAACTTTGAGTTAACTAAGTACAGTCAAAGATGAATATTTACATATTTACTTATTCTTCTCTTGAAAAGAACAAATAAAGAATACCACACACATGGAACAACAGACACTGAAAAAAGGTCATGAAAACAATCTCCCAACACAACCCACTATCACTTGTCATCCTTGAAATAATTCAAAAATAATAACAAAAAATAAAAATAAAATTATGATGACTGGTAGACAAAAAATTAACCACACTCATCTGTGAATAAAAAATAACAAAACCAAAAAAATATGAACGAAAAGAAAAAGAAAAAAGGGCTTCTTAATAATCATGAGTTCCCTTTAATGAATTTTTGCAGGCTCCTCTTCAATTAGAATTTTCCTCCAGTAATTTAAATTCCTGTATGATTGAGAAATAAAGCATAAAGTTCAATGAAATTATCTTTACCTTTTAATTTCAAGATTGAAATTTATTGTTGTTTTACATCGTGTTCGCTAAGCAATAGTAAGATATGAATGCACGTTAGCTCTTTTTTTTTTTTTTTTGGTTAATTAATACTGTTTAGTCGAGTTCTGTTTATTAAACATGCACATAATAAGAAGAGGATCAAGTACCTTAGCCATTATGGCTCAGCTAACAAGTTGTTCTTCAGCGGGCCTTGGTGGTGACTCTGGGGTACCATTTTCAGTCTTCTTGAGATTTTGATGATAATATACTTGCCTCAGTCTCTCTATTTCTTTCTTCAATGCTTCTTGATGAGCTAGTTTCACACAAGTAAAATCTCAAATTCAATGCATTTGCCTTCTATTGAACAAAACCTTAGATGTATAAATTTTCTTTAGAGAATTTGTTTAATTCTTGATAAGTAGATAAAACCATTCATTGATGACACGTCTGGTAGGGTACTGATAAGATTTGAACTTGTTTTTCTTACTTAATTATATCAATCAAGTTCAAGTACAGCATAAATTCTTACCATCTTTGAAGAGTTTATCTTGANTCGACTCACTAACAGACCTCCTGTGGCCACGACGTCGGACAGATGAGAAGTCGAGAAATTCGTCGACCCACGAAGATTCTTGAGGAGTGGTAGCATTATTTGTTGCCAAAATTTCCATGGAAGATATCTTCTGGTGAGAAAAATCATTCCAATTTTGTGTCACATTTGGTACTTTTGGAGGTAAATTGTGTGCCATTAATTTCAAGAATCTATGAACCAAGAGCAAAGCTAAGAACCAAACTACAATTTGTACACAAGAGGGCCTTTTATACTAAAAATCTCAAGGCATAATAGAAATGTAGAATGGAAGACAGCCACAAAAGCTCGAGATATTATTTAAAATTATACATGGTGCTCCTCTAAATTTTAAGACGAGATGATTAACATAGTACGTTCGTGTTAGTTCAAATCTTGTAGTGATCCATTTACCAAAACTCTACACGTTCCAAAGAATAATTCGATCTACACGTGACATGATAGAAACAAGACTTAAACGAATACATATAATCTCTCAATTTAACGATTAAAAAACTTTTAGATGGGATGTTTAACAATCTAAAGATCAAGGTCTGGTCTTCCCAGCTCTCTCTCCCTCCTTCGTTTCTCTCTCACACACAACACACACTAGGATGGTGGGGTCACATGGGGATTAGATAGGACAGCTATCAACAGCTGGTGGGGGAAGTTGAGTCCCAACGGTTTTACTGGGAAAGTTGCAAATTTTTTATTAACTAAAGTGGAATCAGAAACCACGTGCCATTGTGACCTCTCTGCAACTTATAATAATATAAAATTTACATAATAATTAAGAACATTCCTCTGCATTCAGTCTACCAGCACTCCATTGATCACGGCCATTGGACGAAAGTTGATTGATATGGATCTCATGGCTATCATCCTTTGATCAAATTACTGTCTGTCAATCTTGTATGCTTCACTTGGCCATCGATAAATTGTGATTCTTCTACTACACACCTCCATGTAGCTAACAGTAAAAAATATTCATCTAATAAACCTTAAAGGAGGTATTACGAATCATTGAATAATTTGCTTGAAATGTTTCTTTTTGGTTGGTCAAACGAGACTAAAGCACCAAAAAAAAAAAAAAAAAAATTTTTTTAATTTTCAAAATTCTTGAGTATCATTAGAGAGAATAAAAAACATGAAACTTTCAATAAAAGTTTTTGAACCGTTTAATGAAGTTTTCCCATTAATTTTTTTTATTATTAGTTTTCGTGTTCCATAAATATCAATTAAAGGAGGAGCATTATGTATCATAAATTTGTACAATATGCTTGTCTCAACATTATTGCATTATGCAAGCATATATATTAGACAAAAAAAGTACACATATATATACATTCAATAAATTGTGTTCAATTAATAGTACACTTGAAGATACATAATTGTTTATACATCCAACATTTTAAATACTACATGTTCTAAATCTTTTCCATCAATAATATTACATAAATTTTGAATTATCATCTGTCAATCGAATGTTGAAGGCTTTTATTCTATGGGAATATCGTTTGCTCTATATTGAACTATATGTGATTGCTGAAAAAGAGAAGAATGCATTGTCAAAACCTCCCGCCGTGTACAAAATATTTGATGTGTATACATGCAAACGCATTAATTCAAAAAATTACCGTTTTCATCATATTTTGACGAATCATACACCGTTTGAAAGCTTTTTCAATGCACTTCTATATGGAAGAAATGGTTTTTCATACCCATAACATAGAATGGATTGATTGATAGATTTCTATTTTTAATTGTAGACAAGGAGAATAGTTGAAATTGTAGGTTTTAGAAGGATGAGCTGTGGAAAGTGAGAGTGCTTGAAAGGGATCAAGTGTTGCCATGTGAAGTGTTTGCATGGGCTAAGCCTCTTTTTCTTTGTCTCCAATCTATACCCACATGTAGGGCATGTGTCCTTTATGCTCTCTACTTCTATGCACCTTCCTAAAGAAGAATTTATACCATTTATTATTGCAACTATTCGCGGGAAGCCACTTAATCATCATTAGAGGACATCTCTTAATTACTAATTAGAATAAGGTTTGCCTTGCCGCCACTTTATTTAATAACACAAGTTGGAGTGTAATAATAGAGGTAGGGAATAAGATTTAAATTTTTTAATGGCATTCAATAATGATTAAAATGTATTTTATGAAGCAAACCATGAGAGAAGTGTTGAGCGATCAAGCATTTTCTTTAATTCTTGCTCAAACCCGAGTAGGTTTGGGTCGAGTTTACGGCAAGTGAAAACCTCGATTTTAATAGTTGACTTAAAATATATTAAATTTAAAGGGAAAAATATGAAATTGACTTGAAATCTAACCAACCTTTGCCCACCCCTAATTGGATAACTAATCTTCCTACAGCCACACTGCATTAAATTAACATGGCTAATAAGGTGGTGTGGACTCGATTATTGTTAGTTTTAATTCTTGTGATGAATGATAGGTATTATTTCAAGATCTGAAACTGTACAAGAAAATATACAAAAACTTTACACAAAACCTAAAACCATAATCAAGATTTCAACCTTTCATAGGCTCAGATCATATGCCCCTAAAGAACATCAAAGAGGCACCGGGCTCAACCATAAGACCCTCACAATCCCAATGATAGAGTCACTTCAATGGAACCAGAAATGGACACACCACTCCAACAACAGTTCACTCACACAGAGATTACTCACACAAAGACTCGATTATCACAAAGATAATCACTAGAAACTCTCACAAAGAGAAGATGAAAAATCGCAAAGACTGAAAGCCCTTGAAGGTTCCAGAAAGAGAGACGACTCACAGAAAGAAAGAAAAATGACGATTCACTCTTCTAGGGTAAGAATGGGTCGTATTTATAGAAAGACCATCAACCGTTGATCAGTGGGTCAATCCAACGGCTCCAGAGCGATTAAGGAAATGGGCTGAATTATTGAGCTCGGTCAAGTGGGCCATCTCATTCCATATTGGGCCCTATTTTATTATCACAGACTATGTTGGACTTAACCTTGGCATCACAGCCCAACAGATCTCCACCTTGATGCCAGTGGTCATACAAGAAGCCTAATAAATGTAAAAACAATTTATATCTCATCCCTAAGAATGCAGCTTCCCAGTATTTCCAAAAGACACCAGATTTAACCCGCACAGAACAAAAGATTTAACCAGCATCAATGTTCAGAATTTATAAACAGGACTTAAACTTGTTTAAAGGTATTACCTTAGCCCCCCATGTCAGCTGAATTAAACTGAGTAGCAATTTTTTCAAGCAAAACAAGTTCTTTAGAAATAATAAATCTAATAAAATCCAACTTAACATCAATATGTTTTGTTCTATCATGAAAACCAGGGTTCTTACATAGGTGAATTGCACTTTGACGTGAATTGCACTTTGACTGTCTGAATATAGAACAACAGGGTTACACAATTTATTTATTTCAGATAACAAGCCCTTAAGCTATAAGGCTTCTTTTATTGTTTCAGTTGCAGCAACATACTCAACTTCAGTGGAAGATAAAGCAACAATAGATTGAAGTTGTGATTTTCAACTAATACATGTATTATACAAAGTAAACATATAAGCAGTAGTAGATTTCCTATTGTCTCTATCTCCTACAAAATATGAATCTACAAAACCCTTAAGTACAACACCTTCATTACAGGCACTAAAAGTTAAACCATGACGTGAAGATCCTTTCAAATATCTTAAAAACAATTTTAAAGTAACCCAATGTTCTGGTCCTGGATTAGCCATAAATCTACTAAGTGTGCTAATGGAATGAGTTACATCAGGCCTAGTACATATCATAGTGTACATGAAAGATCCTACTGCATTAGCATAGGGTACTATTTCCATTTGTCTAATGTCGGATTTTTCTACAGGACATTGCTCTTTACGAAGTTTAAAATCGCTGGCCAAGGGAAATGAGACAAATTTAGAGTTATGCATGGCAAACTTAGTTAGCATTTTTTCCACATATGAAGTTTTCTTTAAGTTCAGTAACCTATTATGCCTTTTCCTAGTGATTTCCATCCCTAAAATTCTCTTTGCATGTCCTAAATCTTTCATTTCAAATTCAGCACTTAAAGACCTTTTTATCTGATTAACAACATGCATATTCTGACCAATCAGCAACATATGATCCACATAAAGAAGTATAAAAGCAACAATAGCATTTTCATCATTTCTTCTAAAATAAAGACAATGACCAAATTCACTTCTTATAAAACCAACAGTAGATACAAAATTATCAAACATTTTGTACCATTGTCGTGGAGATTGCTTTAAACCATATAATGATCTTTTTAACAAACACACATGATTAGATTTAGATTCGTAAATAAAACCAAGTGGTTGTCTCATATAAATCACTTCATCAAGGTCACCATGCAAGAAGGCAGTTTTCACATCCATTTGTTCATGTTCAAGATCATAATGAGCAACAAGAGCAAGCATAACTCTAATTGTATTTTACTTAATCATCGGAGAAAAGAACTCATCATAATCTATGCCATCTCTTTGTTTGAATCCCTTCACTACAAGTCTAGCTTTAAATCTTATGGGCATCATTTCAGTATTTTCCTCCTTAACACTAAAGATCCACTTGCAATCAACAAGGGTCTTATATGTAGGTTTAGGAACTAAAGTCCAGGTCTTATTTTTCATTAAGTAGTCCATTTCATCTATCATAGCATAGCCTCTTCATAAGATTTTGGTTCTTTAAACACTAAGTCTTAATAGGACAAAACAGCAAGTGAAATGTAATCCCTATACCTAACAGGCTCACTCACTTCTCTCGGAGTTCTATCTCTAACTAATTGGTAATCTCCCAAATCATGAGGCTAAATTCCCAAATTTTCTTGAACATTTTCTTCTTCATTATCTTGAGGCACAGAAGCTGTTTCAGCTTCTTCCTCTACCTGTTCATGAACAACAGGTTCAGTAGCTAAGCTAATTTCCACTTGCAGCTTGGTACTATCAC